CAGCAAATTAGTTTATCTATCGCATAAAATATGCTATTTCTTTTGATTCATTTGTAGATTGCGTTACTCTGTTCTATTAGGTTTTTCAAATGCAAATTTTGAAACGTCAAGTCGAAGCAGCTAGTAGATTAGAAATCCAGAGGGTTGTATATTCCAGCGTTTGATAAATTTATGAAGTATTATAACTCCATAACACAGCGACGAAAAAAATCATTGGGCGCAATAAAGAAGTCAAGTACGTGGCAAACTCCGTGACGGGCCAGTTATCGAAACTGAATGCTCTCGGTTGCCCAAATTGGACCGGTTTAATTTAGACATTACGTTCGTTTTCGTCTTATTACGAGCATCTTTCAGTGAATTTCTATGGGTTTGGAGTACGAGTTCGCGCGACGTGCATGCGTTTTATGCTCCAAAAGTGGAAAGAAAAAGACTCACGAGGAGGAAGAAACGAACGACCGGTTTTCTGCCAGTGTGCAACGAAAAACGGGAGAAAAAGTGTTGCATGGTATTATCTAAGCTAGAAATTCGTGTCAAGTTTACAAGGTTTTCATCATGATACATCGATGCGAAAAATTAATAAATATTCAAGCTCGATTGAATATATTACGCAATAACTAAGCCTGAAACTAAATAAAAAGGTTCGGAATAACCTTTCTAGGTCTAGAAATGAATAAATTTTATTGCAAGGTCGGTAAAGTGCAACGAGAGAGCCATGGAAGGCTTCTAACATTTTCTTCTCACGTTGGAAACAATGCCGGGGGGGAACGGTGTGGTTTCGTCGAGCGATAAAACGTGAACGTTCCGTTCGCATTCGGGGACCGTTCGTTCTCCGGGCCGATCAGGCGTGATCGAGAGAGGCGACCAAAGAGATTCCTAGATCCTCCACATGCGATGTCAGGGCCCCGGGGGCCGCTGTCCTCTGACCGGTTCGAGGATCGAGACGTCGATAACGCGAATGATCGATGCCGAGCATCGAACGACAGCCCCGAGGAGACCCGCTCCTCGTTGACAGTGGTACACGGTGTCGATCCTCGCCAACGTCTCATTTACTTCGTTAAATGCATCGTGACTTCTCCGCGGTTCCTTCGTCCGTGGGCAACGGTCCAACGTGTCCTCGCCGCGGATCGTTTGTTAAACGACCGCTAGCTTTCCGGTATTTTTGGATATTCTTGAAATATTCATCCCCCCTCGATGTTTTTGGACCTGGCTACTCGCGGATCATCTGGATATTTCTCGCGTAACGCGCTCGTTATCGATATTCGCGACAACCTGATCCCCTGAGGGATGCAAAACCTGAAGCTACTGAGTTCTGCAATAACCCCAATTACGTTTTCTTGGAGGAAAGTGCAACAATTCGTACTGTTAGTAGACAAATTGATAGCCAAAGATGCATCGTTGCTAGATTTTTCACAGAAAACTGGATCCTTTAGTTTTCATGGTGCACGTTTCATCCCCCAGTCTTGTCCTCGAAGGATTACTCACGCTGATTCGGGATTTGTAATAATCTCGAGTTGAAATCGCGCAGAAACGTGACCAGGAACGGAGAACGCGAACCCAGCGTGGGTGTAAAGACACTCCCTGATTTTTCGGTTGGATCACAGGGAATTATCGAAGTTAATCGAAATTAAAAGCAAAATGTTTTCGCGTTCGTCCAGTTCCACCCCCTTTTTGTTGCGATTTTTATCGATTCGGAAACGCAACGACTAATCTCCGTTAAAAATCGCATAATGCGTCAGAGCCGCTTACTCAGCGACTGGCACAATGCACACGCGTATTGTATTCACCGCCACCCGCCATGCATTCTGGTTTTTTTTTACATTTCCGTTATCCTCCTACGGCTCTGCACTTTCCTACCACAAAATAATTAATATCCTCCCCGGTATCAACGAATCGAATTCTCATTCTTCCGCGACGCTGATAAGAAGCTTCTTGCCAGCACGACGTTATCGCCCCGCGTTCCCCATGCTTCCGTAACTCAGGAAGCAGTTTGTAAAGGCAGAAGATTTACTGAACCTCCTCAGCTTTAAACCCGGCTATTACACAATACGGAAACTATTATTCCCTGGCCACCATCGATCATTGTCCCGCGGTGGCGAAAGGGGGAACAAATGATACCACGAAGTAGGTTTTTATAAAAAAAAAAGAAGTAGAATTGCTAGTTCAGAGAACAGGGAATATGTAAAGGAGGCAGGAGGAGCGTAGGTGGCAACAGAAACGTGGAAGCCAAGGGAGACAGAAAGAACAGTGAGAAAAATTGCAAACTGGTTTTGAAAAAGTGTCACAAAAGATTTCGTCCTGAACATGTTCAGAATGTCAAGATTTAGAACTTGCAAAAGATAGCAATTTCGTCAATCAAGATACAAGATACCTATTGATGATCCTGATGCCTATCTTGATCCATAAATCCAGTATATTATAAAAGCAGCTGATATTATAAATATTCCTAAAAATAATCCAGGTGCAAGTAACCTTCTGTCGTTATGGTTGCTTCTAAAGCGATCGATCATGGAGGAACGATCCACCGCGCGATCTCGAACGATACGAGTATTCAAACTTCTACGCGCGTTGTTACGCGACGCAATTAATTTCGTAACCGAACAATCGCTTGAAAAATACATGGCCTTCGCGTCGGCAAAGCTAACGAGATATTTCTTTTCCCGCGTGCGTCGAATATAATTTACGCGCCGCGACGATCCAGCCTCGTTTAATTTGAATAGCCGTGCGCGGCATAATTTTAATTTTAATTTTAATTTTAATTTTAATTTTAATGCTTGCGCCGCGGAATGGTGGCGCAATCATTGGTACGCGTAACAGGGTCGTTAAATTGTTACCAACCTTGTAAACCGCGTCCTCAACCCGTCGCGTGCATTTAATGCGAAACCCTCGTGTCAGGTACTTCAATGATGAATATTTCCCATTTTCTAATTTTTTTTTATCCACCGAGGACAAGTGTCTTCCGGAGTCGCACCGTTTAACGTTTTCCCATATTTTTTTTTTTTCCATTTGAGAGCGTGAAAAAGTTTCTCGTTCAGGCAAGTTTGAACGAGAAACTCTGCGATATATTTTTTCGCGTGATAGTCTGTTTTTGAAAATCCCATGTATCTGGAAATAATTTGAGCAAAGCGAGAAATTAATTTTAATCGCGTTTTCATGGTATTGTCATCGGTGGTTTCAGACTTTACGCTGCGAAGGGGATGACGAGGGATTAGGCGAAAGAAATAGTCGACAGAGGCAGCGAGTATATTGTCAAAATATATTCAATGAAAAAATCATCTTGTAAAATTAGACAATCGTTCCATTCGTTACAAGGATATTAATAATAGGAGTGATAATAATAATAATCGTTGTCATCATTATTACCTTGCCTAACAGAACCGCTACCGAATGCAATTATAATCCCTACAACCTATAGCGGTGCCTTAAGAAACTCGAGGAACGTCCTTTATTTACAACAATTACGTGAATTACGCCAAGGATTCGCGATCGGGCGCGACTTCGAACCGCCATTACTCCTACCGCTACGCTCGATTCTCCACTCTCCTTCGCATTCTTTTTATTTTTTTGAGCAATAATTATAATTACACGCCGTACACGCGCTCGACGCGCCCGAATTTTATTTATAAATAATATATTTATATATATATATTTATATATTTATATTTACTCGACGTTAAAACCCAACGTTTCGCGCGACACAGAACACCGCCAGAGCACGTTTCTCTCTTTCCCGTTTTTTTTTTAATTAACAATTTTCAATGACTCTCCGCCGAGGCACGCCGCACTTCAATCGACTCGATACACTCGATCAGGGCTCTTGTTATCTAATTCACCTAACGATAATAATATTAATATATATTATCATGTTCGTACATATATTTATATATATTCATTTATTTATATTATTACGTAACACGAGCGAAAGTATTACATCTCTCCCCCCCCCCTCCCTCCCTCCCTCCCTCCCTCCCTCCCACCTCCTCCTCCCGCTCTGGAAACGTTGGATTTTCACACAGCACTGGTAAAGTTCGTAACCCTTAACTAGGCTTACCTCAGAACGCTTATAACCAATAAATAGACATCGACAACTAATTACAAAACGTTTTCGAACGAGGCGTATATCGCGTGTACGCCCACGCGTGCGTCGAAGCTCGTTACGAAGTCAACGGATCCGACGTAAAAAGGTGTACACGTACGGACGTGTCGACTACAATAAATACAACGCTTTCTATTCGTTCGACTAATCGATCCTTCATCGCGGTACAGGCACCGCTCAGTCCGCGTGCCCGCCATATTTGATCGGGGAGACGACGGTCGATCGTCGACGATCCCGTGACGGAGGAAAGTCGTTCGCGAAGTCGAATCAACATCAACTGGCCGCTCGAGGTCGAATACCGTTACCCCCCACCACGTCGCTTGGCTGCTCTGCTGGGCGCACGCGCATTGTCTCTCCAGAGTCTAACCCTTTCGCCGTGGGAGCCTCGCGTGGCAAAGACTGTACGCTGCAAATTTGTTAGCAGTGGCTGTTTTTCGAGGCTGCGTGATCAATTGGCTACAGGCGGTTCAAGGGTTGCGTTTACAGTAAAACCTCTATAATTGCGAGAGAACTGGAAGAACCATAGGAAGTATATCTCCGCTACTTTAGAACTACCGGACCGTACAGTTGATTTCTGGAGCTGCAAGAATTACCCGACACTCTGTCCACGTTCCCTTTCATCCAAGAATCGTCTGAGGACCTCCGGCGGATGTATGATCTTGCCAATTGACTTTGATCCGACCGTGTATTTCTCCCCGCTCGTTCGTAGCACAGCGACACGATCGCCAAACAGGCTTCTCGTTAACGAAAAGTCAATCGTCGATAATGAAATGGCGTCCCGCGGATACGAAACGATCGCGTTAAAGAGTCCATTCTCGCGAACACATTCTCTTTTCACGGGAGCAACTCCCCGAACGCGACGCGCCACTCGGTTCATTCGCGACAAATAAATTATTCACAGCGTCGCGGCGCCCCCGTTGACGAACGGGACCCGCGGATCCGACGAGAACAGTCCCGCGTCCATTTCTCTGGCGTCCATCTCGCGGATCATCGACGCGTAGAACATCGACGAGTCCATTCGCTGGTCTCGTTCGATGGGCCTGGTCCGGAAACGGGATTTCGGGGATCACGCGCAGTCCAAGGACGCCAAGGACGCAGGACTGTGCGGTCCGCCGAGCATGAATGGAGGGCTCATCGGCGGACCGCCGCTTCCGGTGCTGTTCCCGTAAAGCTCAAGGTCGCCAAGGGAACCGCCGTCCACGCCGCCGTCGCACTTGTCCGATTTCCCCTCCTGCTTCAGCACCATGCGCCGCCATTTTGCGCGGGCGTTCTGGAACCAGACCTGCGAACAGAGAGAGAGACAGGCGACAGGTGAGTGTCGAGCTTTTTCACGTTCGCTCGAAGGGGTGATCGAGAGACAGACGGAACCGTCAGCAGTCGTCAAATCGCTAGGTTTTTGGGAGAAGCTTTTCAAAAACTTTTTCCCCGACAGCTTCCAGCGTGTAACAATGGTCTACCGGATTGTTTGCTCAACCCTTTGCACGATACACACTTAATTAACGAAAACAAAGCTTTAATTACAATGTGGTTGTAAATCTTTCTGGGGGGAAAAAGGACAATTTCACTTATTCGCTTATATCGAAATACATTCTTGGAGCGCAAAGGGTTGATAATTGTAGGAAAGGACAATATTTATGAAATTTGCTCGAGTACTTTATGGAATTTTTATTATTTAACAGTGTATAGTGGTTAATAAAAATAAAAGCAGAATGGAGATTGAGGTACTCTTTTGGCGAGCCACGAATGCTAAGGATTCTTATCGCTAGGAACACGTTCGAATAGCTTACTTTTAACTATCAAAAGCCATCAGCCATTAGTGTTAAACAGTGCAGACAGCTGCTAACTGTTAGCAATCCTCCATAAAATACAAATAATTTTCATCAGTTTCCAAGCATTCTTCGTCGTGGAGCTCGGAGCTCTCGGTGATCGGTTCCAGAAATCCTCAAGGCGATGCCTCCGCTTGCCGTGCAACGAAGAAACGACGCGCCCCTATCCGGGGATTACCCTGAACGGCGCGTCGTTACACCTGACGCCCGAAAAGAAACGCGGCGACCGGGACAAAGGGGGAAGAGAACACTCGGAGGAACGAGGACCAAAAAGCTCGCGCGGCTCGTATATATCTTCATCGAGAGGGCTTACACGCGAAGGGGGTGGGGTTGGGGGAGGGGGAGGGAGTAATTTAAATGCAACAGCACGCGCGCACCGGCACGTCAGCAACGGGTCCTGGGCCCTGCTAGGATAGCTACATCGTCCGTACAATGCAACAATATATAATGCGACGACGCACACTCGAGCCTCTCTACCATCCCCCCCTTTTCCTCCTCCTCCTCCACGGCGTGGCTCTCTACCCCCTTGTGTTCCTGATAGATAAAAGACGACCTCGATGCACCGGGATCCGCGTCGCCATTTTCAAGATAGTCTCCTCCCCCGCGGACTGAAAACCAGGAGAGACTTCCAACCGACACAACGTGGGCCTCCCCTTCGTGGTCGAAGCGTACGAGTGTTTCACTCCGCGGTGCGCACGCGATAGACACGCGTCTGTGTGCGGGTTAGGTGCTCGCGTCGGTGAGCGTGTGCAAGCCCGACACGCACACAGCCGACGAAAGAGGAGAGCGGCGACGAACGCAGCCGCGGCGAATGAGCGAGTATTCGTGCGTTTCGCGATCAATATCAAGCAAGATGGCGACCAAGAACCCTACGCCGCACCGAATACAATAGGCTGGCTCTCTCTCTCTCTCTCTACCCCCCTCTGTCTCTCTCTATGTTTCTCCCTTGCTCTCCTCCTCCCCCCGGGCCACACGACGACCCCGGTCTTTTCTCTTTCTCTATATCTTCTTTGGCTGCTGCCGGCGCCATCGAGTCACCGCGTCTGCATGGATCCCAAGGCGAGTCTCTGCTCCCGGTTCCAGCTAAAGTGCCAAGGATTTCGAGGATTCTACCCTCTCGTCGCGAGGGAGAGGCTACGAGCTTTGTAGTCGCGACGGTTTTGTCCTAAACGCCCAGGATGCGTCGAGTTAATGACTCGGGGACGCGCCGAGGGGCTGCTAGATGCGAGGATGCGAAGTTTGTTGCACGGAAACGGGTGCAAGAATGGAGGATCAGCGAACGGGGCGTCGAAAGAACGCTCTTTGGGAATTCTCTGACGAATCGCGTGTTTTGAGGGTTGTGTGCCAGCATAGAAGCTTCTAGGAAGAGTTAGGAGTTCAGGATTACTCGATCTCAGAAACGGAGGAAGTCTGATTATAACCGGAATTATAGCCGGAGACTTTGCTTCAGTCTCAGTTGTCTATTGGGTACCTAGGCCCCTACATATGGATTTCATTAATCATACTTTGAGTCTTATGATTTGTTCAGAATCCAAAACAGTGGTACACTATGTCCCGGTACTAGCTATACGACGATTACCGGAAATTAAACACCAGAAACCGCACCTCCTTGACTCGAAACGCTCACCCACGCCCAAACCCATGAAATTGGTCCGTGGAACGGCTGACGATCCTCGAACCGTCCATCAGGGCCTTCCCCGAGCGGCACAGATTAATTTCCCATAAAAACCCAGGGGTCCAAGCCGCGAAACAACCGGAAGCTGTGTCTCGGTGTGCCCCGAGGGGGCCCCGAAAGCCCAGAAGCTGAGAAGCTCGAGGACTAATCGACGGGTAACCGGTGATTCCGTTGGTCCAGCGTTGATCGTCGATCCGCGATCGATCGGCGGCCCCCAGGGCCGAATTAAAGCGCGGGAGGGCCAACCGAATAGATTCGCCTATGTAATTTAACGGTAGTGGGTTAACGAGGGCAGCGGCGGTCGCAGCTCGTTACAACAAAACTTCGCCGACCAGAGCCGACCGGGGGGATTTCGAGGCAGCGGCGGATTGACGGAGGGCCATAATTACGGAGAAAGGCCACAGAGGCTTCGTCGACGGAAATATCACGCGGCCCATGCGGTTCTTTTACCTCAACGCGCCGCCGGCAGCACGCACTAATTGGGAGAAGCGCGCGCGTACGTCTCCGCGGGTTCGGCCGCACGTGAATATTTTTATAGGAGTCCCGGCATACGCGCGACCAAGGGGGAAAGAAAAAAAAAAGGGGGAAAAAAATACGCATCGAGAACCACCGGCTATCCATCTTCCAGCCGCGATTTTTCTCTGCACCTTTCTCTGCTTTTTCTGAAAGCAACCGCGTCTACCACCCTTCTCCACCCCTCGACTGTCCTTTCTTCGTCCTATAGCGAGAGGATCGTATTCGAGAAATTATCACGCATTAAATACGACTCGAACCCCCTTTTTTCAAGGAATATTCTATTATTCGAAATCTTGATACAATGTCGGAAGAAAATTTCGTTATTACGCGAATAAAACTGACCTATACTCAGCCTCGAGATTTTTCCGCGCGTTTTTTCATTTTTTCTCGTTCCTTTTTGTTCCTTTACCCAAGCTCTGGAAAGCAACCGTCTCTCCCTCTTACCCGGACAGTTCTTTCTCCGTCCTGCGATGGATATCTGACGTTGCTCGCGAGAGAGACCATCTTCGAGACTTTCTACCGTGCGTTCGCGTGCTTTATTTTGGTACCAGTCGGAGAGCTCGAAGAAGATCGGGGAAATCTTGCTGCGCCCGGAACGAAGGAATCGACCGAGAGTTTTTTGTACGATTCCCTTAATGAGACTTTCTGGCAGCCTTTTTCTCCGCGATTTGTTCGTTTTCACGCGCCGCACGGAATAATTCCCGGCACGACCGAATAAAAGGCTCGGGAATAAATACTAAATCCTAGAGTACCGTTCCCTTTTAATAACGAGGCTTCCTTTTCCAAGAATTTTGAGGATCCTGCACCGCCATTCACAAAACCTCTTTCAATACTCGTAGTTTAATATATTTTTTATCGAGCGAGATGTTACTCAAACATTCATTACGCGTCCTCTTCAGGGTACACAATTGGGAATAACTATTCTGACTCAATAATACAGGGAAAGTGTCATAAAATTGACAGATATCACGAGAAAATATTAATTATGAATTTTCAGGTTACAAAAGTGTCCTGATCCTGATTAACGCCGATAAATCGCTAAAGTAGCAAAGGGAAGAACCATTCGATAATGAAAAGAGTGCTCGAATCGTCGAATGAAATTTGAATCTCTGAAAGAACGACTGCCATATTTATCTTGGTGGCTAGTCAGAAAACAGGGCACAATTTTCCGTGTCGTTTTCGCGCGCTAACAATCTCTTCTATCTTTAACCTCCCACCGAGAGCGCGTGTTTCGGCGTTTCAAGGGCCGCCGAAATAAACGTAACGCGGTCGCATAAATTCCAAAGACACCGCCGGAATCGAACAACACGAGGACGACACCGACGATACAATCTGTCCAAAACGACGTATACCCAAAAGGTCCCGGATACTTTTAGCGTCTATGAAGGGCGTCATGCGTCATTGACACCGCGCGCTAATTGGAGGAGGCCGCTCGCCAGCACCGACGCGAATACTTTTCCCGCGAAGCCACCCTGTAAATTTCACTTTAATTACGCAGAGCGACGATTCCGCGACACTTCGCACGCGTTACGAATCCTTCGTTCGCCAGCCTTTCCTCTAACTCCTAAATGCTCTATTTATTCGAACGATAGCCACTGTTATTTTGTGAAACCAGTACACCCTGATGACCACACTTTCTATTTCAATGTCTATTATTTGTGCAAACTCTTGCTTATCTGGTCTTTAAGATAAAGCTCTGATTCAAAGTTCTGATGTAGATAATATTTATAGAAAATCATGCTTGGTAACATGCTTTAACCCTCTGCACTCCTATGTCGAATGTGACTCGACATTTTTTCAAGTCCAAACCAAAGAGATATACACTTAAAAATGACAAAATACAATATTTTTTAATTAACGTAAATTTCAAATAAAACACTTAAAAGCATTGGGAGCAGCTGGTAACAAGATTTAAATATAATTCGGAGTGCAAAGGGTTAATAAATAGAGACACTGTAAGGCCACGTTTATTGTCAGAAGAGTCTAAAATTGTGTATTTCTGGGCCACTTTATCGAGTAAAAAATTCGTGTATTCGAACTGTTCAGAGATGGTCAGTTCTGGTCTGATTGGTTATAGTGTAATCTACTTCCCCCAAACTCGAGAGAAAGAATAGGAGATTATACCAGACATGATCAGACTCGCCAGCCAACTTTTCATTGTTACAACACATAGCGTTAATTTAGTGAAAACACGTGCTCAATTTTACAGGTCTCGAAACGGGGCACGAAAGAGCCAAGTGACAGAGCCCCGTGTATCGTCAGACAACAGACTTTGATCGAACGCTGGATCGCGAAACGATGGGACTGTAGACCTATGGGAATCGTGGCGAATCTTACCTGCAGCACCCTTTTTGGCAAGCCAGTTTTCTGGGAAAGTTGCTTGAGATCCTTCGCATCGGGATTGTGATTGATCGCGAAGTAACTCTTCATCGTCCTTAACTGGTGATGCTTGAAACTCGTTCTCATTCGTTTTGTTCTGCTGTTGGAACCAGGCATGCCGGGAGTAGCCGGGCCCCCTCTACCGAAGGGCATATCTATGTAGTCCGCGTTTAAATCTGCAACATAAATCCCAACATCCGGATTATGCGTCTTAATTAAACACCGGTGTCGCGCTGGGTATTTTTGAAACCGCCCGTATCGGGTTGTATCGGGTCGGTGGATCTTTTCCGACGGCGTACCAACTCTCCGCGAGGGGTTGGACCAGTTAGATTTATGCTTCCACTGGAACCCCGTTCATCGTTCCGATACCACTTACGTCAACGTTCCGCCAACATTGTTACCATGTTCATTGTTCGAGTTATCGTTTCGCGTAAATGGGTTACTTGGGGAATTCCTTCAGGGCAAAGACTTTGCTCCATCATCGACTTTAATAAAAAATTTTGTATCTTTGGCTGTACGAATTCAGTGTCAGCAAATAATCAGCAAAATAATTCTATGCACTCTTGTGCATCGTCGAGCACAAAAAGAGAAATGTAATTGTACCTTTTCTAAAATAAAAATTATATTTTTAATTAGACCAGACAGAAAATCTCAAAAGTTGTTACTAAATTAAACTCTGCCTTTTATTTTATATTCTTATGACATCTTTCTCATACCTGTTCAAAGACGAATGTAAATATTAAAAAATAAATACTGGGTAATGTTTGCAATAATCTATATTTCAAGTCAACGTCTTGTGTCTGACGTCAACGTCAAACTGCCTGAGTTTGTACAGCGACAAACTACCCTAACGTGTGGAAACCCTAGCAAAATTACGTAGCAAGAAGCTATCGAGATCACCCAACTTTTCGTTAGAGTTGACCAAAAGGAGCATGAAATTTCATATCGATCGATGACCGTATTGACGGGGTCTCGTGTGTCGAATAAAGTTCTCGAAGCGAGGATCGCAATAGCGGAGGGAACGCGAAGAACCGTCGGAAGCGGGCAATGCCGCCGGTCGCGACTCCTAGCGCTGTTTGATGTGTATCACAGCTCATTAGCTCCTCGAGTGCAAACAAGAAGGGTGATAGCGTATGCGAAAGACCAGTGGATACACGGCCAATTACAACTCTATGCAGCAAATAGTTTGTAGGCACGATACCTCATTCCGGGTATACCTATCTTGTCCTCGAGACTTCGCTTGTCCCGGAAGATAAAGCGCCGCTTGACAGTCGCTGAACGACCGCGGGGCCTCCGGTAGTCGATGAATCGACCAGGATCGATAAGATCGAGAGCGCTACGGTTATCGTGCGTTCATCTACGCCAGCTCCGGCAACTAGAGCGATTTTTTTTTTTCGATCAGTTTACCTCTCATTGGTCGCTGGGATTAATTGATGAATTTCATCCAGAGGGGATCGAGAGATTTTTTTATTCCGAAAATTTTATTTGCTGCGCGGGTAATGCAGTCGTGGGATGGGAGACGAGGTTATCGACGAGTTGAATTTTCATTACCGAAAAATATATTTATCGGCGGTTCTGGGGGCCCTTTAAGCGATCAACGTTCCGCTGCACGCGACATTTACATAGGTCAGGCATGTCAAACTAGTCGTTAAACCAGGGTTATTTCAGCTCCGCTGCCGCGTATCGGGGGATGGTGAATGTTAAATTACTTTAGAGAGAAATTTTGTGTTGGCCGTTGCTCTTTTAACGAATACTCGAACAAATTACCGACATATTTTCCCTATGATGAAAACAAGTTAAACATGGACGTCGATCGTTCAAAAATATACGCGTTTAAATAACGATTTTACTTCAAATTGAAACGTCTCCCCTGCCCGTCGGGACCCAAATAGCCAATCTCAAATTTCTAAAAGAAGACCCGCGTACGTCTCATTCACGGACAAGCCCGGCCTTCTTCTCCGGCCGCGGCGAAAAAGCGACGAGCCATCGTCGAAAAATAGAAAATACAAAGCGAACGTTAATGTTCCGAGCGGGCCGGATGACCTTGCCAGAAAAAAAGGCCCGATCGACTCAGAAGTCCCCCGCTATCAAATTATTTTATTTCCGACGATAAATTCTCGCGCTTCGTCCGGGACCAGCCCTCGGACCAGCAAATAGAACAAAACGATTTCCAGTCATTCGTGAATCCGCAACATTACTGGTAAAAAAAAACTAAAGAAAAGAGGCTTGATGAAAATGAAGTCGATCAAAAACATTTACAATAACTGTAGAATTCTACGCGATAAATTAATCAACCAGATCAAAACTTTCGATTGCAAGTTACTTGCTTCTATACAAAATCTTTCTAAAACCGGTCTGTACCTTTGGAATTCTACGAGCGTGTACCAACACGAACTTAAGTTATAAATATACTGCATACTTTGACTTTTTAATGATTCTAAAATCTGTGGAATAAGCAAACTCTCGATGATTTTCATTTTCGTCTGCACTGCGATTAAAATTGACAAGAAATAAAAGTCGAAAGTTGCATAGTACCTCCCTCGATAACATCAAGCTAGCGAAGGTTAACAAGGGATGATGGTAAAACGTTTCACTTTCATGACAATTCCGATTCTCGCTACATATTTTGACTTCTGACCGATTCTAGAGCCTATAGTGCAAACACACATTGAAAATTCCTCTCCGTACACTCTCAGTGTTCCTCACTTTCGCTTGCAACGCGACCAAGCTTAACAATCGACAATTTACTAGTACCAGATCGCTGTAAAACGCAGCAACCAGTGGATCGATTCGCTTTCACGGCAATTAGAATTTTCATCCGTAAAGATCGACTCGTGGAAAGAAAATAGGACCGCAAGAAGGGGCTGGAAACTGCAAAAAGGGAACGAAAGAGTGGTCGTCGTTCCCGTGGTCTCTCGGTTGGTGGTTTGATCCAGGGGATCGACGCGAGGATCCGTTGTTCCCACGGTCGGTCAACAATCGAAAATTAAGTTCTTCGTTGGGTGGAAAGGAAGCTGCCGCCGAAGTGCCCGGCGCGCTCTGCCCACGCGCGACACGTACACGCTTTGTTGGGATTGGATTCGTGAATTTATGTCGCGCCGACAAATTTTATCAGGGTTCGGTGGCAAACACCGCACGCCCACGCGCGCCCGTAAATCACGCCGAGGGAGTCGGGATTCGTGTATCCGGGACGCGCGGTGTACGTGCCGCGATCTGACCGCTCGCTGGAGACGTCTCGCGGACCAGAACTGCTCACGGATCTTGGAGCCCGAGGCCTGGGGGGGGGGGGGCAGGAGAGTACCCCAGGGCCTCTGTCGCGGTGGAATTTTCGGCGATTGCCATCGCGGAACAACCGCCCGCCAAGAATAATGAAAATCCCGGCCGGGTACCGACAACCGCTACAACCGTGCCCGCGAACAGCTAGAGATGATACCGCGCGAGGAAGAGTCGATAACTCACCGCAGGCCGCTGCCGGCGACTTCCTTCGTTTCGCGGTTACAGGCCTTTTGGCCGGACGGCGGTGCTAAATTAACCACGTTACGCGGACAGCTGGTCGTGCAATATAATTAGAAGGAACGCCGGCGATATCTGAACACGCGTCGCGGAACTCTTTCAGGTAGTCCGGGGCTCGAACGGACACGCGGCGGCGCTGATTTACTCCGGGGGCCTTTGTGCCGCCTTCGACTTTGCCTGCCAGCCGGTTCTGACACGTTTTCGAACGGAAATCGACGCGAAACTTAACTCCTCAAAGCCATCGACGAGTAGGTTTCGTCTCTGAAAGTTTCGCCCTTCTTGATACAGTACTCCCCGGTTAAATGCAACTTTCTTTCCCCGAGTTGATGCTACGCTTTCGTTCCCACTCAGATTCTAGGGATCCAGTCGAATTGGCAAACAGAGAAATCGTATGCAACAAACACTTATCAATATTAACAGACACGAGCGTTTGGCGTAGGCGTTGCCTCCCATGCTCGCCACCAGAGGGATTGCGCTCTCACAAGCGCTCGACAAACTTCCCAATATCCCAGTCATCTAAGACAGAGCCTGCTAGGAAGCCTTACTGAGACGAGTCCACTAGCAGGCCCCCCTTTCCTCTTCACACCCCCCTACGATTCTCCTGAGATTCTACCCTAAGCCTTCAGCACCCCATACAGTGTCGTCGCAAATTCTAAATTCTTAGTTCGAAGTAGCCTAATAACTTGTCGTGTGATTTTCGAACGAAAGAGATCAGAGTTGGACTTGAAAGACACATTAGTGTAATTAGAGGGAATTGCAGAGCGATATCAAATCTTTCAAGTGGGGTTCGTTGATTTACCGATTTAGCAGGGCCTTTGATCAACCAGCTAACGCGATTGTGACATTTAGATTGCACGTTTCGAAAGGAAATTGCCGTGGAATAAAACATGTTTTTTTTTTTTTTAGAGCAAGTTCCGGTTGGAGTCTAATAAAGACTCGCGCGAAAACTGTGCCGGATGAGTTATATTATATAAGGTAAAATGAAATGTTATCGAAACATTTCGTGCGTGTATCTGATAAACGAAGAGTTTTCGCGCTACTAATTCGCGCAGCGAGATAAAGGGGTTCAACAACACTACTTCTAGTGCTTTCTTGTTACATATTGAGCGAATATTCGCCAACTTCACGGTCCAAAAAATAATATACCAAATTCATGAGATACAAGTCATTGCTTTCTAACTGCGAACTACGTATTGCACGATACGTTCTAGCGCGGAGCAACGTACAGAAACTTATCTCTTTTATCAGGCTCTTTTCAATTTGGTTATTTATTCTTCAAGCTGTTAACTACATTTCCAAACTAAAAATTTGGTGTTTGCGAAAGAACGGAGCACGTAAGTTCCATATTGAATAAATTAAAACACCGACACGTTAGATTTTCAGTAAGAAATTTTTTTCTCGAAACTGCGTAGGATTTCGGGGGTATGTGTAACGACCAAAAATGATTGTAATTGACCCCCTCAACTGCAAATAATTTTTTCAGAACGATTTGAAATTTTTTAATTTTGTCGAAAAATTCACACCTTCTCGAATTTTTTTTTAGAAAATGGGTAGGAATTCAGGGATATGACTATTGACCAAAAATGATTGTAATTGACCCCTGTAAGCAAAAATAATTTTTTCAGAACGATTTGAAATTTTTTAATTTTGTCTAAAAATTCACACCTTCTCGAATTTTTTTCTCGATACTGCGTAGGAATTCAGGGGTATGTCTATTCACCAAAAATGATTATAATTGACCCCTGTAACTAAATATAATTTTTTTGGTATGATTTGAAATTTGTTAATTTCGACGAAAAATTGTACACCTTCTCGAATTTTTTTCTAGAAAGTGAGTAAGATTTCGGGGGTATGTCTAATGACCTAAAATGATTGTAATTGACCCCTGTAACTAAATATAATTTTTTCAGAATGATTCCAAACTTTTTAATTTCGCCGACAAATTAAGGCACCTACCCCCTGTCGATTTTCCTTAGAATTCGTTTTTCATTTTTAATAAATTTGTTTGACATTCTACAGAAAAGTTGTCTAATACTTTTTTGTAGGTACCCATGAGCTCTATCGCAGAAAAAAGTTTCATTGAAATATATTCACTATTGTAGGAGTTATGGCTGTTTGAAAATTGGATGAAGTTTAGGGGGTTTTCCTCAGTTTACGGGGTTAAGGACCAACTTTTCGAATATTTTTACAATTTCTGCATATTCTCCGTCAAAATACGCGTAGTTTGCTTTTTTAAAAATTAAAATCCGCCAATCCGTTCAGAAGTTATGACGTTTTAAAAATTTGCTTGAAATTTCAGTGAAACATCTCGACGGTATGGTCAGACATGAAAATTTTCGGAAATGAATTTTTTTCTCGAAACTGCGTAGGATTTCGGGGGTATGTCTATTGACCAAAAATGATTGTAATCGACCCCTGCAACCGAAAATAATTTTTTCAGAACGATTTGAAATTTTTTAATTTCGTCGAAATATTTCACACCTTCTCGAATTTTTTTCTCGAAAATGCGTAGGATTTCGAGGGTATGTCTATTCACCAAAAATGATTGTAACTGACCCTTGCGACTAAGAATAATTTTTCCAGAATGATTTGAAATTTTTTTTTTTCATCCATGAGAAGAGGACGCTAAAATCTCCTCCGAATTTTCAGTTTGGTCACGAAAGACCATAACCTCGTCTGTGACAACACGTTACACCAAGAGGACCAAGTACCAAAGGGACGTTTGTAAAACTGTGCATCGATAACTCACCTATGTTAGCAGTCATAGCCTCGAGATCCTTGGGCTTCCTTTTCCTCGGCCTTCCTTTCTGTCTGGGTGGCGGTACGACCGCGGCGCCATTGAAGTACGGTACTTTGGGTGGCGATCCCGCGTCGGGCACGGATGGCGTCGAGGGTTGAAGCGGTACAGGGCTCACGTGGCTGTGCGGATGCTGCGGGTGCATGGAATGATGAGGATGCGGAGGATGGGAAGGATGATGGTGGTGGTGATGAAGGAATTCCGGCGAAGGAAAGGGCTGGCCGGGGTAGTGTGGTCCTGGCGGGTACACCGGAACCGGAGGACTTTGAGAAGGATGCAGTTCAGCGCCCATTTCGTAATGGAGGCGACAGAGTACCGCGCCGTCCCTCATCCCGAAATGATCGCCCTTGGTCAGGGGTACGGCACAGGCCGCGCAGGAGAAACAACGTACGTGGAACACGAGGTCCCTGGCTCTCATCACCAACTCAGAGGCTAGGATCGCTGCTTGACACCGGGCACACCGTTTCATACTGCCAAACATTCTGCAACAGAAAACAACAACCGATTAGTATCGATGCAAGTACTCGGCGCAACCAGAGACGATCAATTTTTGTAAAGAAAGAATCGATTATCGAACTGTTTATTCCCACAATCGAATTACAGCGTTACAAAAAAGCTATTTTTAAAATAAATTGTTCGCTTTTCGATACGTTCGACATAGGCGTTATTGAATTATCGGATTCGAATTCCAGCGATTACACGCAGCCTTTTCTAGATAGAACAGTTTGAAAAATACAGATAAGCGGAGACAAGTTTGCCAGCGCTGGACCACTTCGGATAGAACGTTATCTGAATCGTTGGAACAAATGGACCGTGTCAGCAATACGTCACGAGAAAACAGGTCTTTAAAGATCGTGTAATGAACGACGATATTTTTCCAAGTCCTCAAGGAATTCGAAAGACGAAAATATCCCGATCGACACGAACCTTATTCCGCGAGTTTTAACATATTCTTAAACACATCCTAAGCTTCTTTTCACCTGGATGTCGCATCACGTTGCAACTGTTTACGGTTTCACTTAGCAAAGATCAAAGACACCTGCTCGAACGAGCGCGATCTAGAACGCCTAATTATATTGGGCACTTTTTCGAGCGATTGTCGGTCCAATTAACCGAGGCAAGAAGTCGAGCAACGTTCGCGGAACGTCCGAGAGCTAGGCTATCCGCGGCTGCTAACAAAAATAACGAAGAAATTATCGTAACCGCGGGGATACAGGCGGCGCCCATTTTTCCATTCGCTTTAAACGATACAAACACATCCGCGCGGGGAATGTTTCTCATCGTCCAGATAACCGCCGTGTCCCCCGAGATAGGGTTCCGTTAAATCGAGGAAAAAAAGCGACGGGGGCAGATAAAGAACGAGGAGCTGAGGAGGAGGAGGAGGATCCTTGGGGCCCGAGAGACGACGAGACACGTAGAACTCCGGGTGATATCGTTGTAAGAAGGGACACGTATGGTAACCGCGGTGGAGCAAAAGGCCGGAAAGGGAAGGAATATACCGATGCAACGGGCACCGTGACATCGCTACTGCATTAGCGGCACCCTGCAGTCTCCATTACCGAAGCCGGTCGACTATCTACCCGACATCCACCGCGGCTACCTACCTAACCACCTATCTCACTCTCCACCTCCCAAATATATTACGTCCCCTCGCAGCCGTACTAAAGAACCTAGATAGAGACGTGGCCGATCTTATAACCCTGATGCCGCGTCGGATCCAGTCCCCGGCGAGCTGGCGTGCCACGTATTTATACCGGGGGCTGACCTCCTCCTCGCGGCGATCCCCAACACGCACGAGTTTTCGGTCGACAAGCTTCTGTCCGTGCTCCCTGCAGGATCAGAGGATGACTCGATCCTGCTGGACCTCGTGCAAGAACTCCTATCGCCAACATTACGCGATAAGGACTGATAGAATTCGGCTACCTTCGAGATTACGGTTAGGGAATTGACCTGGTGGCTCAGGGAGTCCCAAATTCAACCATCACTTGTCAAAATTCAGACTTGTAGACTTTAATGTTTCCTATTTACTGAGGATCCTCGAAAGCTTAACATTTAAGCATATTTCTGGGACCAGATGTGTCATTAACTTTCCACTCCTATGTCGCCATTTTGTCGCCATCCTACATTTTATTATTTATAGTATTTCCTTCTGGAGATTGTTATTACAATGCTTCTTTTAGAGCCTGCTTAAACGTGTGTGCGTATATAAAATAAAATAAATATAAATACGAGTGCAAGGGTTTAAATACTTGAAATACTATTATCCACTTATGACGGGGCCTCCATCTTCTTAAAAATGGGAAAAACAGTTTGGTCGGAGCCAAGTTTTCCTCTCCCGGCTAGAGAAAGTGCGACACGCCGAAGAGGAAGCGTTTTCCCCTGAAAGATCCCTCTAAATCATGTCAGCTCGTATCGCGATAGGATGATTTTTCAGAGATTACTGATATTGATGGAGTGAATGGGGAAATATAGGAAAACAAAAGGAGGATGTGGCTACACGAAATCGTGCACGCACCGTGGAGCAACGATCCCAGCAATCGGAAAACGAGAAAATGGAGAATAATGATCAGATACCGCGAACGGAAAAGCAAGCCTCGCGGCATAACGAGTCTCGTTGTTTCGGGATGGAATAACGCGTCTTCTGAGATCTCTGATATTTCAAAATACAGGGAATATATTCGCTCGATCAAGTATAATAAATTTAAGATTAAAACCACCTCTTGCGCTATTTATTTCGTGTTTATTTTGTCAGGAGTACCAAGGATAAAGCCTAATCGTAAGTCTCACTTGCGTCGATGAAGCAGAGCAGATAATCGATCGCCACCTATTGGATCTCGTATTGATCTTTAGATCAGTCTCAGAATGTACTAACTGTAACACGTGTCATACCGCTTTGTCCTTCTCGTTAGTTAATTAAATATACTGTGCAATAAAGTTTCAACATATTTAATAACTCTTTCAATTTCAAACGCCATAACCATCTATCCCCCCACCAATTAGCAGTCCAATTACGTGAAAAAATTCATGTTTTTAACAATTCTGGCATAGTCCCCCATATCTCGTGAACGTGTTACAACGATGGTATTGATCAGGTTATTAAAAAATGAATTGTTCGAAAGAGCTACAACGTCCACGCAGGATTGATCCTCTTCCGCAATTTCACGTTCGACCGAGCAGTGTGATCCAATCAAATTAAGGAAAAGAATACCGTCCCAGAGACGTCTGGCAAATGGAGGTCCCCCATTCAAGTGTCCACGACGTTTATCGTCAAGCCGTGTCGACGCCTCTTCGCACAGAAGCCAACAACGAAACAACCTGAGCGCTCCGCGAAGTAGCTAGTCATTCAGGAAGCTGGTTCCACGTTCCCCAGGAAATTCAAACACGAAACGGAGCCGTCAACTCGAAGGGATTGGACCGGGGGGTATACCCGGCGTAAAACCTAAACCTAATCTAATGGATTAGCCACGGCAAGTCTCCGTACCGTCGAGGGTCTCTTGACGCGAGACACATTGTTATCGGTCCTGATCCTATTGACGGCCCCAATCATGGTACGCATCCGGCGCACAATGGCTTCTGTGGTCTGGTTTTCGCCCAGCGGGGCAAGACCGCGTATTTTCGCCTAATCGGATCCGTTGGACCGTGTTGGGTAATCGACTGGGCCTTATTCCGAACCGGTACAACAGCAGATTCACCTTTGACCAAGGTAGAAACTGTTTCGAAGGCGTTCAGCAAGAGAACCGTGTTCTTTGTTACTCGTTTTTCGTAAATATTTTAACATGGAGCGGGACGAAGGGTCCGTTAGAAATTCTTGGGAATAAATTTAGTGTTTTTCTAAGGGTTTAGAATCGAATTTTGACGGGGTACGTGGCAACGGTCGTTGATGAAGACGCGTTCGCCGCACAGAGCGCGCGAGTCCCCGAGGCGGCACGTGAGAAATCGCGGCCTCTGCGGGGCTCGTGTCCTCGCGGGCATATCTCGGCGGCCCGGGCGAAGAAAAGGAAAAGGGGTCCCCGCGCGCGAAAGAAAGAGGGCCCCGGCGAAAGAAGCGGCCAGGACGGAACGGAAAGAAAGGAACGGGAGAATCCACGTGCTCCGCGGGTGCTCGAGTGTGCGAACGCGCGGCAAGTGGTCCCCGCCGCGAGTAGCCGCGTATAAAAGATTTCCGACTCTTTGTGGCGATGTGGCGCGTAGTCTCTGTTTAGCAGCGACGGGGGAATACGGACCCCCGAAGAAAAAAAAAAAATAGAAAACCCTCCGCTGCGTTTAGAATACGCGCTCGCATTGTATAATAATGTATCGCATATGGCGCATCGTGTAAAACTCTGCGGGCGTCCCCCCACCGTGTCAGCCCTGAAACACGGATGTGTGTAAGGAAGGACGGATGGAAACGTGAATGAGGTTATTCCCGGTCGCGGAGCCTGCTTTCGTTCATTCATCCATTGGTGGATAGCACTCGTGGGGAGGCGAGGACCGAAGACACGCTCGACGAGTAAGGAATTGCCGAAACACCGTCTGCCTCCCCTCAACCCCCCCTGCCCTACCCACCCTTCCCCTTAGCCGCTGGTCGACTTCTTTCGGAATTTTTTCCCTCCGGGACGCTTCGACGAAGTGTTCGGGTCTGGTCCGGACCTGAGATGAGATTAGCGGATAGAGCCCTGATGGGTTAATGAAGCGGGAACGTTTGCAAGCTGTTTGATGCGCTGGGGTTGAGAGCTGTTTGTTACGGTGTCGCCATCGGGTTCGCCGATTCTGCGTGGGCTAGAACCTTTCGTCGTTCTATGGAGAAGTCAGCACAGATACGAAGATACAGCTCTCCATTCTGTTCGTGAGAAGTTTGAGAATGTTTGCAAGCTGTTTGATGAGCTGGCTTGAGGGCTGTTTGTTGAGCTGTTGCAATTGAGGTTAGCGATTCTGAGTAAGTTAGGCCCTTTAATCGTTATTCTGTCGATGAGAAGTTTGACCATGTTTGTACAAACTTTTACAGATAAATATTTCGACAAAAATCTTGAAGACATTGTTGTCGGTGGTTTGAAGCTTTCATCATGACAAGATTCATTAGAAAACTCTGAATATTTATTCCATTCGTTGTTAACGAAGTCAAACATATTCAAACCCAACTGAGAAGACATGTAACCCCAAACTCAGCAACTTTCTACAGAGTTTTCCTGTTCCCATCGAGGTTAGGGTCCTCCTTCGACTGAGTTTCATCGAATTATGTCTATTCGTACGCAATTATGCGATGATTACGAATCGAGGCCACTCTTACGTATTTTCTTATGAATATACATCTCGCGTTATGATTGCCCGTTGTTCTGGAATTATTGTTCTCTTGTACCTGCGATTTAATAACGATTCTATTCTTGCATTCTCAATTTTGTACGTCGCGTTGAAATAATTCCTGCTATAATCGATGTTTACCAAGGACAGAACCATTCCACCTCCATTATTATAATTACAGATGTTTTCCCATTCGGAGTTATTG